ATATAGGGCGGCCTAGGGAAGAGACTAGGTAGGGCGCCTATAGGACGCCTAATTAAAATAGGAAGTTATATAACTATAGTAGACTTATAAAAGTATGTTATAGATGCACTAAGGTGCTATAGATGAGGGGCAGGGCGGCCCGAGGAAGTGACTATAGGGCGCTTATAGGGGCGTAAGAATAAAGGAACTAGTCATGTGACTAGATCACTAGGGATTATAGTGATCCAGTGTTAATCTAGGATCACTAGGATCATAGAGTGAGCTAAGTGATCTAAGTAATATAGTAGAGGATAGGATGGATATATAAGGAAGGGGATTTCTAGTAGATAGCTAGACTAGATCTCTACTAATTAATCTAAGTAATAGTTCTACTATTAAGAGTAATCTCCTAATATAACTTATATAATAATATCTACTTATATACACACTAGGTGTGTACTTATCTAACTCTCTACCTAAGAAATAGACCTACTATAGATTAAGAATAAGCTACTATTATATTTTAATTAGTCCTATTTAGTAAGTTACTATAAGAAACCTTAAGTAGATAACTAAGATATTAACTATAAACGAACCTACTAATAATACCTCTAAAACCCTTTAGAAACTCTTAGTAAGAGTTAAATAACTTAAAAAAGATAATAAGGAACTCTAGAAGTGTACTAATAGGCACTAGGAAGAAATTAATAAGTTAGATAAAGAAAAGGATTAGCTTATAGAATAGCTTAAGAAGGAAAGAAGTAGGAAACCTAAATTCTTAAAACTAGAAACCTATAATAGGTATAAAGGCGATATAAGAAACTTTCTTATATAGGCTAATGCCTACCTCTAAGTTAATAAGGGTACTCTTACTACTATAGAAGATAAGATCCTCTATATTAGTAACCTCTTAACTAGAAAAGCTATAGAATAGTGGGAACCTATACTATAGGTATACCTTAGGTATAGTATTAAAGCTAGAGCTAATATAGTTTATATCTTCTTAGACTATAAAACCTTTAAAGAAAGACTCCTAAACGTATTTAATAACCTAGATGAATATAAAGAAGCTACTTAATAGCTTACCCACTTTAAGTAGACTAGATCCACTATATACTACGCATAAGAGTTTTAATAGATTATAACTAAGCTTAGTTAGGGTAATAAAGCTATAATGGAGATCTTCTACTAAGGATTAAAAGAAGAAGT